GCAGCGCCGTAGTACCCTGAAGTAACTTGTAATGCTTGTTCTGGAGCGCCAACCACACCAGTGGTCGCTTACTCTGTGGGGTTCTCGCCGTGGGCCCCGTGTAGAGCACCCAGCGATCATCCGTCGCGTTGAACTTCCAGACGTTGATGTCCACCTTGGCCGCCTCGACCGTAGCTCGGAGCGCGGCCGTGCTCGCAAGACAGCCAGCCTTCGCCATAGCTCCGGCCATCTGCACGGTGACCCCGTACTTCTTGGGATGCTTCTTCAACTCCGCGGCAACAAGAGGTCGAAGCTGCGCTTGAACTTTACCTCCTGGCTGGTCGTCACCTGCAGCAAGAGGCTTGGGGGCGGCCGAAGCTTCACGAAGAGCTCGACCAACACAGAGGAAGAAGCAGTCGCCGCCACCTCCACACTCCACGTCCTGGAAGTTGTCCGCCCAGGGAGCTTTCACCGCACGGCGGGCACGCTGCTGGGGGGGTTCGTCTTCCGACGATCCCAGCTGGCGGCCTTCCGCTGGCACTGCACGAGGATCACCACCAGGCGCCTCTCCAGCTGTGGCGGGCTGAGTCGGGCTTGCTCATAATGTGCTCTCGATGCTGTCAAACGCAGTCTTTACCATTCATCCTGTGTCGAGCTGGGTCCTCGTTTTGAAGATACAGCGCCCCGCGTCTCCTCTTCCTCCTTCCCCACCTCCTCCAACTCCTCCTCCTCCTCCTCCTCCTCCTCCTCCTCCTCCTCCTCCTCCTCTTTCTCCTCCTCCTCCTCCTCCTCCTCCTCCTCCTCCTCCCCCTCCCCTCTCCTCTTCCCTATTCCCATACTTGCCCCTGGTCTCCGAATTGTCCTCACCGCCATCCTCATCATCATCATCATCATCATCATCATCATCATCATCATCATCATCATCATCATCATCATCATCATCATCATCATCATCATCATCATCATCATAATTATCATCATCATCATCATCATCATCATCATCATCATCATCATCATCATCATCATCATCATCATCATCATCATCATCACCATCATCATCATCATCATCGCCGTCGTCGTCGTCGTCGTCTCCGTCGTCGTCGTCGTCGTCGTCGTCGTCGTCGTCATCAGTTAATTTCGGTACACCGCTCGCACGTTTTGTGGCCCCACAAGGGGCTCCACCAAAGGTCGTGTGGCAGCGCCCGCTTGCGTCCCCCAGCCCATTCCGACACCATTCACACGTTGCGTGGTTCCACAGAGACTTCCACCGAAGGCTCCTGTGGCAGCGCTCTCATTGGCTCCCCCAGCCGATTTCGGCACACCGCTCAAACGTTTGGTGGCCCCACAAAGATTCCAAAGGTCGTGTGGCAGCGTTTGCATGCGTCTTCCAGCCCATTTCGGAACGCATGCGTCTCCCAGCCCATTTTGGCACACCGCTCACACGTTTAGTGGCTCCACAGAGACCTCCACCGAAGGCTCTTGTGGCAGCGCTCTCATTGGTCCCCCAGCCTTATCGGGCACACCGCTCACACGTTCCGTGGCCTTACAGGGAGCTCCACCAATGGTCGTGTGGCAGCGCCAGCATGCGGCATCCAGACAAATTCGGAATGCATGCGTCTCCCAGCCCGTTTCGGCACACCGCTCACACGTGTCGTGGCCCCACAGCGAGCTCCGCCGAAGGCTCTTGTGGCAGCGCTCTCATTGGCCCCCCAGTCCATTTCGGCACGCTCCTCACACGTTTTGAGGCCCCACAGGGAGTTCCACCAAAGGTCGTGTGGCAGCGCCCGCATGCGTCCCCCAGCCCATTTCGGAACACCCCTCACACGCTTCGTGGCTCCACAGATAGCTCCATCAACGGCTCCTGTTGCAGCGCTCGCTTGCGGCGCACACGTTTCGTGGCCTCACGGTGATCTCCGCCGATGGCTCTTGTGGCAGCGCTTGCATTGGTCCCCCAGCCCAGTTCAGCACACCCCTCACCCGCTTCGTGGCCCCCATCTGCACGTCCCGTGCCCCAGCCTTCTCGCGGCGCGCTACTTAACTTCGAGGAGGCGGTCATATCTTGCGTGTCTCGCAGCTGCGTATGGATCGATCTCTCGCCTGGCGAATGTTTTCAGCGATGATACACATATATTTGCGCCCATACACATATATTTGTAAAACGCCGATTGGTTGTCCAATGCGTCACTATGTTTGTCAATATTCGTGCGATGCGTCATCGGCCTGACACCTGGCACATACTCAGGTAGCGAATGCGTTCTCTAGTTCGTCTGGCCATGTCTGCTCACCATGCTTAATGTATGCACTAGCGCGTGTGTGTTGGGGCACGTTTGTTCATTAATTTTGCTTAGCGCATTCCCCAAGCAGTGTTTCTTCTTAGAGCTTAGCTGGCTTCCCGTGGCATTTACGCCACCGTGCCAGCGCAGCATTCTGGGTGGCAAGCGTTCGAGAAGGCAATGGGGCTTGCTGGAGGCCTCTTGGGGCAGAAGACTTGAATGCTTGGTTCGTGTTCCCACTCTTGGGCCATTCTCGGGGTCGTCTTGGAGCGTGCCGAATCGAGCGCGGGTACGCCATGTGGACCCTGCCCCTGGGGCCTTCGGCGGAGCTCCCTATGGGGCCACGAAACGTGTAAGGGTGTGCCGAAGCGGGAGTTGGTACGATATGTGGACCTTGCCGTCGGTGCCTTCGGTGGAGCTCCCTATGGGACCACGAAACGTGTGAGGGGTTTTCCGAATCGGGCGCGGGTACGCCATGTGGACCTTGCCGGTGGGGCCCTGGGTGGAGCTCGGGCACGAAACGTGTGAGGGGTGTGCCGAAGCGGGTGCGTGTATGCCATGTGTACCCCGCCGTTGGGGCCCTCGGTGGAGCTCCCTATGGGGCCACGAAACGTGTGAGAGGTGTGCCGACGCGGGTGCGGGTACGCCGTGTGGACCTTGCCGTTGGGGCCCTGGGTGGAGCTCCCTATGGGGCCACGAAGCGTGTGAGAGGTGTGCCGAAGCGGGTGCGGGTACGCCATGTGGACCTTGCCGTTGGGGCCCTCGGTGGAGATCCCGTTGCGGCCACAAAACGTGTGAGGGGTGTACCGAAGCGGGTGCGGGTACTCCATGTGGACCTTGCGGTTGGGGCCTTTGGTGGAGCTCCCTATCGGGGCACGAAACGTGTGAGTGGTGTGCCGAATCGGGTGCGGGTACGCCGTGTGGACCTTGCCGTCGGGGCCTTCGGTGGAGCTCCCTACGGGGCCACGAAACGTATGAAGGGTGTGCCGAAGCGGGTGTCGGTACGATATGTGGACCTTGCCATCGGTGCCTTCGGTGGAGCTCCCTATGGGGCCACGAAGCGTGTGAGGGGTGTGCCGAAGCGGGTGCGGGTACGCCATGTGGACCTTGCCGTTGGGGCCTTCGGTGGAGCTCCCTATCGGGCGTGCCGAATCTGGTGCTGTACGCCATGTGGACCCTGCCGCTGGGCCTTCGGTGGAGCTCCCTATGGGGCCACGAAACGTGTGAGGGGTGTGCCGACATGGTAGGGAGGAGGGAGTAGGGGGAGGAAGGAGGCGGGAGAACGCGGGGCGTTGTTTCTTCAAAACGAGGACCCAGCACCACAGGATGGTTGGGAATGAAGACGATATGTGGGTGTTTGGGCCTTGGCCGCTGTCCATGTATATATACCGATATGTATATGTATATATATAGATGGTACTAAATGGATGTGTAAATATGTGTGTGCATGTATATTGTAAGATGCGCTGTGTGAGCTAGGCGATGTAGGATCGGGTGTGGAAGCTATTCGGTGGAACCTTGTTGTGTAAACTATGTGGCGTCTGATCGGTTGTGTGAGCTCTGTTGTGCAAGCTGTGTCGTGCAAGCGACGCTGATTGAGCTGTGTGGTGTAAGCTATGTGGTGTGAGCTATGTCGCGGAAGCTATGCGGTGCAAGCCATGTGGTGAAAGCCATTGGGTGAAAGCTACGTGGTGTCGGTTGTCCTGTGTCAGCCTATGCTGTGCATGCACAGGGCGCCAACGAGGTGCCCGCGGGCGGTCACAGACGTCAACGTGGCGAATCTTCGGGACACTCACTGCCGAACGCACGGGGCGCCCACGAGGCGTCCATGAGCGGGCGCGGGCGCCAAGGTGGCGAATACCCAGGACACCCACGGGATGCTTGAGACAGAAGTCAGAACCACTAAGTGCAAGCGCTGGTTTGGGATTGCAGCCCCTACATAGTATGGGGATATGTTTATCAGCGTTGGCACTACGCAGCAACTCATCTGGGCGAAGGACCCAGCACCATGCAGTTGTGAGCACAGCACTTGTGACTATCATTCCGGTGGAACTCTTTGTGGGGCGACGAAATGTGTGTGTGAGTGTGTGTGTGTGTCTTGCCACTGGGGCTCTCGGTAGAGCTCCCTGTAGGGCCGCGAAGCGTGTGAAGTGTGTACCGCTGTGCCGACGTCGGCCTGGGGGCGCATGCGGGCCCTGCCAATGGGGCCTTCGGTGAAACTCCTCATGGGGCCACGAAACGTTTGAGGGGTGTGCTGGGATGGGTATAGGGGACGCATGCGGGCGCTGCCACTGGGGCCGTCGGTGGAGCTCCCCATGTGGCACCGAAGTGTGTGAGGGGTGCGCCTAAATTTGCGGTGGGACCGCTTGCAATGCCTCCCTCCTGGGGGCTTCGAAACGTGTGAGGGGTGTGCCGAAATTGGCATGCCGACGGCTGAGGCAGGGATGGGAGGAGGGAGGGAGGAGGGAGGCTGGCCGCAGGCTTTTCAAAACAAGGACCCAACTCAACACATGATGGTTGGTAAAGAATGCGTTTGACGAAATCGAGGGCATATTGTGAGCACGCACTGTTGTTTTGGACAGTGACGTCGTGATCTGCGTGAGGAGGAGGAGGAGGAGGAGGAGGAGGAGGAGGAGGAGAAGCGGGGCGCTGCCGTTTCGAAACGAGGACCCAACACCACAAGATGGTTTGGAACAAATGTGCTGCTCGCTGGAGGCCTGGGCCCCCTTCCCCCTTGGTGCCCGGCAGGCTCCAGCAGATCTTCTCCTCTCGGATCGAGACCGGCATGCGCGTGTGGCATTGGAGCTACGAGCGAGGTGGGCGTTCTGGCCCCGAGCATGTCCACAGGATGATCCGCGCCACGGTCGAGGGGCGGACGATGAGGGGATAAGAGGGGGGAGGACGAAGGACGAGGGAGTCGACTGTTGGGCGACATTCCGCCCTCTCCTCCTCCTCCTCCTCCTCCTCCTCCTCCTCCTCCTCTTCTCCTCCTCCTCCTCCTCCTTCCTCCTCCTTCCTTCTCCTCCTCCTCCTCCTTCTACTTCTCCTCCTCCTCCTCCTCCTCCTCCTCCTCCTCCTCCTCCTCCTCCCTCTTTCCCCCTTCCCCCTTCCCCGCTCGCCAAGAGGAATGCAGGCGTTCCTGAAAGCCGCCACAGGCCCCTAGTGACCTCTGGCCCAGTGGGGGGCCTGAGAGTTCGACAAGTCTACAACCCTCTATCCTCCCCACTGCCGTCCTCGATCCTCGAATTTCAAATTCCACCACTCCCTTAGGTGACCGTCCCGCTGGCGGGCCGCCAGTTTGTGGGCAATTGGATGCACGGGCAGCGGGACGCCCAGATCGATACTTGTTCGCAGGTCGACTTGGTTGCCGCCGCCGCCGCCGTCATCGTTTTCGTCACCGGATCCGTCGGCGTCGGCGTCTCCACGTCGCCGGTGTTGTCGTCGACGTCGCGTCGTCGTCGTTGCTTTCGCCGTCGTCGTCATCATTTTCGTAAGCGTTTCCGTCGCCGTCGGCGTCGGCGTCACTGTTTCGTCGTCGTTATCGTCCCTATCTTCTCCCTCCTCCTTCGCATTCCCTTCCTACCCACACATCGCCCTCCTCCGCACCGCAAGGTTATCGAATTCCTCAACAAGGAATATCCACAGAAGCGATGAATTCACTAGGTCCCGAATGCATGACAGGTCATGTCTCAAAGTCCCGATGACAGAGGCATTGGCTGGCAGGGGCCCTGCCTCTAATCCGGGCTCAATGGGGCAGTTATATGTTGCCGCCTCCTGGATCGCATAACCCAGACCTCCGACGCCATAATGTTTCGGTGTGGTGTTGTTCCCAACCACCCTGTGTTGAGTTGGGCCCTCGTGTTGAATTAGCGTCGCTCCGCCTCTCTCCTCTCCTCTCTTCCTCGTCCTCCCTCCCCTCCTCCCCCTCCTCCCCCTCCTTCCCCTCCTTCCTCCTATGTCCACCACCTTTTTTGTATGGCACACCCCTTTCACGTCCTGTGGCCCCACATGGAGCTCCACCTAAGGCCCCAGTGGCCGCGTTTGCATGCCGCCACCACCCCACTTCGGCGAACTCCTCACATGTTTCTTGGCCCCATGGGGAGCTCAACCTAAGGCCCCAGTGGCTGCGTTTGCATGCCGCCGCCACCCCACTTCGGCGAACTCCTCCCACGTTGCGTGACCCCTGTCGGGCGCTCCACCTAAGGCCCCAATGGCTGCGTTCGCATGCCGCCGCCACCCCACTTTGGCGCACCTCTCGCACGTTGCGTGGCCCCATAGGGAGCTCTGCCGAAGGCCCCAGTGGCCATATAGAACCCGGGGGGTAGGCCTACCCTAGGCCTACCCATAGGCCTCCCCCCTAGGCCTACCCTAGGCCTACCCCCTACGCCTACCCTAGGCCTACCCCCTAGGCCTACCCTAGGCCTACCCCTAGGCCTACCCCCTAGGCCTACCCTAGGCTTACCCCTAGGCCTACCCCCTAGGCCTACCCTAGGCCTACCCCCCTACCCCCTACGGCCTACCCTAGGCCTACCCCTAGGCCTACCCCCTACCCCTAGGCCTACCCCCTAGGCCTACCCCCTAGCCTACCCCCTAGGCCTACCCCCTAGGCCCCCTAGGCCTAGGCCTACCCTAGGGTTCACGCGTGTCAAGTGCACACGCACCATACTTGAATGTCCCGCCCGCCCGACCCGACCCGCCCGTTAGGGTCCGCCCGACCCGACCCGCCTTAGGGTCCGCCCGACCCGACCCGCCCGTTAGGGTCACCCGACCCGCCCGTTCACGCGTGTCAAGTGTACACGCACCATACTTTCATGTCCCGCCCGCCCGACCCGACCCGCCCGTTAGGGTCCGCCCGACCCGACCCGACTCCGTTAGGGTCCGCCCGCCCGACCCGACCCGACCCGCCCGTCAGGGTTCACGCGTGCCAAGTGTACACGCACCATACTTTAATGTCCCGCCCGCCCGACCCGACCCGCCCGTTAGGGTCCGCCCGACCCGACCCGACCCGCCCGTTAGGGTCCGCCCGCCCGACCCGACCCGACCCGCCCGTTAGGGTTCACGCGTGTCAAGTGCACACGCACCATACTTCAATGTCCCGCCCGCCCGACCCGACCCGCCCGTTAGGGTCCGCCCGACCCGACCCGACCCGCCCGTTAGGGTCCGCCCGCCCGACCCGACCCGACCCGCCCCGTTAGGGTTCACGCGTGCCAAGTGTACCGCACCATACGTTAATGTCCCGCCCGCCCGACCCGCCCGTTAGGGTCCGCCCGCCCGACCCGACCCCGCCCGTTCACGCGTGTCACGTGTACACGCGGTCCCGCCCGACCCGACCCGACTCGCTCGTTAGGGCCCGCCCGACCCGACCCGCCCGTTAGGGTCCGCCCGCCCGACCCGACCCGACCCGCCCGTAGGGTTCACGCGTGTCAAGTGTACACGCACCATACTTTAATGTCCCGCCCGCCCGACCCGACCCGCCCGTTAGGGTCCGCCCGACCCGACCCGACCCGCCCGTTAGGGTCCGCCCGCCCGACCCGACCCGACCCGCCCGTTAGGGTTCACGCGTGTCAAGTGCACACGCACCATACTTTAATGTCCCGCCCGCCCGACCCGACCCGCCCGTTAGGGTCCGCCCGACCCGACCCGACCCGCCCGTTAGGGTCCGCCCGACCCGACCCGACCCGCCCGTTAGGGTTCACGCGTGTCAAGTGTACACGCACCATACTTTAATGTCCCGCCCGCCCCACCCGACCCGCCCGTTAGGGTCCGCCCGACCCGACCCGGCCCGCCCGTTAGGGTCCGCCCGCCCGACCCGACCCGACCCGCCCGTTAGGGTTCACGCGCGTCAAGTGTACACGCACCAGCCCTCCCGACCCGACCCGCCCGTTAGGGTCCGCCCGACCCGACCCGACCCGCCCGTTAGGGTCCGCCCGCCCGACCCGACCTGACCCGCCCGTGAGGGTTCACGCGTGTCAAGTGTACACGCACCATACTTTAATGTCCCGCCCGCCCGACCCGGCCCGCCCGTTAGGGTCCGCCCGACCCGACCCGACCCGCCCGTTAGGGTTCACGCGTGCTAGTGCGAACGTGCTCCACACTTTAATGCCTGCCCGATCCTACCCGATCCGTTCTGGTCCGTCTGCTCGATCCGGCGGGCGGGCAGGCCTATAGGGGTAGGCCTAGGGGGTAGGCTTAGGGGTGGGTAGGCTTAGGGGTAGGCCTAGGGTAGGGCTAGGGGGTAGGCCTAGGGGGTAGGCCTAGGGTAGGCCTAGGGGGTAGGCCTAGGGGGTAGGCCTAGGGTAGACCTAGGGGGTGCCACCCTAGGGCCTTGGGTAGGGCCTAGGGTAGACTACCCTAGGGCCTTGGGTAGGGACTACCCTAGGCTACCCTAGGCCCTTGGGTAGGGCCTAGGGTAGGCTACCCCCCCTGGGTTCTATACCCCAGTGGCTGCGTTCGCATGCCACCGCCACCCCACTTTGGCGCACCACTCGCACGTTGCGTGGCCCCATAGGGAGTTCTACCTAAGGCCCTAAGGCCCCAGAGGCTGCGTTCGCATGCCGCCGCCACCCCACTCGCGCACCCCTCACACGCTTCATTACTCCATAGGGGGGCTCCACTTGAGGCCCCAGTGGCTGCGTTCACACGCCGCGGACGCCAAACTTCGGCGCACCCATCAGACGCTTCTTGGCCCCGCGGGGAGCTCCACCTAAGGCCCCAGTAGCTGCGTTCGCATGCCGCCGCCGCCACCTCACTTCTTTGGCGCACCCCTCACACGTTTCGTGGCCCCATCGGGAGCTCCACCTGAGGCCCCAGTGGCTGCGTTCGCATGCCGCCGCCACCCCACTTCGGCGCACCACCCCATAGGGGGCTCCACCTAAGGCCCCAGTGGCTGCGTTCGCATACCGCCGCCACCCCACTTTGGTGCACTCCTCGCACGCTTCGTAGCCCCTGGCTGCGTTCGCATGCTGCCGCCACCCCGCTTTGGCACACCCTGAGGCCCCATTGGTAGGACTCGCGTGGGTGACCGTGCCTATTTCGGTACACCCCTCGCACGCTTCGTGGCCCCACAGGGAGCTTCGGCGAAGGCACCAGTGGCGGGAATCACATGGACGACCGCGCTTATTTCGGCACACCCCTCGCACGACTCGGGAAGCTCCAGCGAATGCCCCTATCGGCAGGAATCGCCTGCGTGATCGCGTCCACGAAAGGCCCCGCCGCCTGCTGCTCCCCAGACCGCGCCTTGCTGCTCCCCAGGGCAAAGCCGACAGACGCTCAGATCAGCCGTGCCAGGAACATCCAGATGGAATCCGTTGCGGCTGCCCCTTGCCACCCCATCAGCAACGTCGCTTCGTCCTTATCACGCCTCCTTGGTCCTTTTGCTAGCCTCCTCCCTTATTTTCCACCTGTCGTGCGGTATTCGCAGTTGTATATGGTTAGGCCACTCGCCAGGCTAATTGTTGTTTGTTTTCGCCTTCGGGCTCCGCAAGCCGTTTTCGGTCCCCATGACCATGGATGATTCGACGCAGGCATCCCCATATGCATCTCAGTTCTAGTGCTTTCCTCCACATACGTCTGAGCACGAGCAAGTTTAAGCGTGAGTGATGCTGGATATGAGCGATTGGGTACGAGTGACGTTGAAGCAAGGAACAGGTATGGTTCGGAAGGGGCTCGCTGTTCCTCAGGCCCATTGCATGGCTCCTCTAGCGCTCCTTGTCTACCCAGAAGCTGTAGGGGGCCAAAGGGGGATTCGTAGCACGCTCTTGTTTCGGGCGCTTCAGCATGCGCGGCCGAGTACGCGTGAGTCTGCATACGGGGGATATTTGGCAAAGTGAGTGTGAGTGGGTGTGTGTGTGTGCTGGTGTGGTATGAGCTGCTGAGCGTTTGTGTGTGTGTGACTGAAAATTGATGTGGTCGATTGCGTTTCGAGGGCTCTGAGTATTGAGTATGAGTGCCTGCGTGTAACGTGGTAGTATCATGAGGCTACGGTCGCGAGTGGCTACCACTACGTGCTGATTGGGCAGCTCGGAGGGTGGGGGTGAGCTGGAAGTGAAACGGAATGCCCCAATGGGGAAGTCAGTTTCGCTTTCGCTTCGTGTCGTGAGTCGCGTTTTTGTGGGGCGAGGCATCAGACTGCTCCTCACCCTGGCAGTCGCGCGCTGGGGCCCAGGTTGCCCCGCGGTCGTCCCGTGTTCGCCCCGCGAATGTGCCATGGTTGTGTCGTGGTTGCGGTTGGCTTGCGGTGATGTTGTGGATCCCAGTGGTTGTTCCACGGCTGTCCTTCGGTTGTCCCGCGGTTGTTTTAAGGGTGTCCCATGGTTGTCCCGTTGTTGTCGCAGCGGTGTGTTGTGGTTGTCTCTTGTTTGTTACGTGGTCATGCTGTTGTTCCGTGGTTGCCCCGTGGTTGTCCCGTGGATGTCCTAGGGTTGTCCCACGGTTGTCCACGCGGTTGTCTTGCGGTTGTCGCGTGGTTCCCCCGTGGATGACAAACGGTTGTCCCGTCGTTGTCCCGTGGTTCTCTAAAGGTAAATGACAGTGAGGTCGATATCGAATTTGATGGATCGATATTGTGACTGGTAGATGGTGAGACCGATGTCCAATTGGATAGTGGGATCGATGGGTTCTTGTGAGACCAGAATATATTGGGATTGACTGGTTTATTGACAGTGGGATCTTTTGATTGGTAGTGAGGTCGATAAGTAGTTCGATCGATGTTCAATGGTTGTCTCTTGGTTGTCCCGTGGTTGTCCAGTTGTTGTCCAGTGGTCGTCCCGTGTTTGTCCCGTGGTTGTCCCGTGATTGTCCCGCGGTTGTCCCACGGTTGCCACATGGTGTTCTTCTGGTGGTTGTCCCGTGGTTGTCCAGTGTTTGCTGCTGCGGCTTTTTGTGGTTTTCCCGTGGTTGTTACGTGGTTGTCTTGTGGTTGTACCGTCGTTGTCTCATGGTTGCCTCGTGGTTGCCCCGTAGTTGCCCAGTAGTTTCTTTGTAGTTCTGATCCTGGTGGTTGTCCCGCGGTTCACCCGTGGTTATGCGGTTCTCCCGTGGATATCCCGGAGTTGTCCCAGGTTTGTCCCACGGTTGCCATGTGGTTCTCGCGTGGGCGTCCCGTCGTTGTAGCGTGGGTGTTCCGTGGTTGTCCCGTGGTTGCTCTATGATTGTCCAGCAGTCGCCCCGTCGTAGCACTGAGCGTGTGTCACTGTGTGTGTGGCGTACGAGTGGGTAGGAGTATGAGTGTGAGTATGAGTGTATGAGTGAGTCTGAAATTGTGCCTGCGTCTGAGGTGTATGAGCTAGCCTGGCCACGAGGGCGAGTCTGGAAGTGAGTGCGCCCAGGCATGGGCGTCTCAGTACGAGGGATTTCAGTGGAATCGGGTATGGGCATCACGCGTCCACGAATGAGTCTATCGTGCGTCTGGGCACGTGCTGGTGTGCGCACCCATGGCCCTGAGCATGAGCGAGTCTGGGCGGGAGGCGGCCTCCTGGATCCTTACGTGCTCTCCTGGAGCGTCCTGGGGCCTGTTGGGCATTGCGGGGCCCCCAGGGGACCAAAGTGGGAAGGCGGTGGGAGGAGGGAGGGAACAAGGGAGGGAGGGAACAAGGGAGGGAGGAACAACAGGTAGAGGACGGGGGGGCCCCCCACACGTCCCAATACCGTCGTTCTGCCGAAGAGGTCTCCATAATCTGGGCGCAAACGGGTTCGTGCAGTACCTCCGGGTGCCCCATCTTCGGAGGCCCGTCTGCGATGCGTTCGAGCGCGCGGTCATCATCGGTTTATCCGCCAACTCCAGAGAGAGAGAGAGAAAAGAGAGAGCGAGAGAGAGAGAGAGAGAAACAAACAAAGAGCGAGAGAGAGAGAGAGAAACAAAGAAAAGGAGAGATCCACCTCCCCAAGCCATCGTTCTTCTTGAGAGGTTCAGACGATCTAGGCGCGAACAAGCCCTTGAAATACTTTTGGTCGACGCCCCATTGGGAAGGTCGAGTGCTATGGTTGCTGTCCGGCGGTGGTCAAACATGCGTCCGACGACCATGGCTCTTCTCTGAGAGGTCCGAGCAATCTGGGCGCGACCTGGCCGTGAATACACCCTTGATCGGCAGTCCATTGGGAGGCCCGAGTGCGATGCCTGCTGCCTCGTGCTGATGATGAGCTTGTGCAGCCGAATGACAGTCTGACTATGCGTGCGTCTGAGCAGTGTGTCAATCTGACCTTGAGTGGGTCTGAGAACGGGTGACCAGGCACGTGTGAGTCTGAGCGTGGGTGAGTCTGGGTATCAGCGACTGGGTTTCAGTGAGTTGGTCTGAGTGGGGTTTGGGGGAGGCGGGAGGTGAGGGAGGCGGGGCGCGACACCAGCAACAAGAGTCTCGTTTTTTGACGAGGACCAGGCTTGGCGACAAACTGGTCCAGGAGATTGTGTCGAGAGCTGCAGTGATCAAGCAGTGGACAAAGCACGACGTCGGATTTCGGGCAGTGCTTCTGTTTGCGATGTTTCAACCTACGGGAGCCCGACTGCTAGCGTCTCTGAGTGTTATATACGATTATCTGAAGGGCTCCGCCTTGTGTCCAGCTCGGACTCGGATTCGTAGCTTGTGGGTCGTCGGGGTGAACAGCGTGTCGGCATCCTTAAGGTTCTTTGAAACCCTCTTCGGGCCATTCTGCGTTTGTTGTTGCGATGATGACGGGAAGCATTGGGACATCCTGGCATCTTCTTGGGTCTTGGGGCTGTCGCTATCCTGGGGCAGTGCTGGAGCTGCTGTCCTGCGGCCTTGTTGGGGCATCTTGAGGCCTCTTGGTGGCATCTTGGCGCCTCTGGGGGGGCCCAGGAGGGCGATCCTGGACATCCATGGATAACCATGGGCACCGTGGGGCCCGGGGTGACATCCTTAGGGCCGCAGCTGAGGGTTATCGTGGGCGGGGGTCATCTTGGGCCTTACCCTGGGGGCCGTACTGGGGCCACCTTATCTCATCCCGGGTCCCCTGGGCCACTTGGGGCGGCGACAGGCAAAGACACCGCCAACGCTGCACCACTTCGGAGGGGGGGAGCTGTGCCTCGTGTGGCCATGCGCATAGGGGCTGCACTGGGCCACCGTGGGGCATTTGGGGTCAGCGTGGTGTCATAGTTCGAAGAAGAAGAAGAAAAATAAAAAAAACGCCATAAACCTAAACTGTTGGCGCTCCGCGTGGATTTCTTGGATCCGCACTGGGCCCCCCATGGCGGCGCCTCTGGCGCCGCTCCTGTCGCGCTCCACGCGCCAGGGAGGGGGGTCCAGCGCAGATTCAAGAACCGGCAAGGGCGGGTTCGAGCCCCGTCGTTGGCGGGCATCTCGGGACGATCAAGTTGGGCACGGAAATGATGTGTACGATGCCCAACAGAGGGGCCTAGGTAAGTAGATATAGGAAGCAAGGATATGCCAGCGATGGTGAAATTGGAGATTCTGGGGAGCCATCCTGGGGCTATGTTGAAGGCCTGTAGCTCTCTTGGGTCATCTTGGGGCCTTCGTGAGGCCTCCGAGGCCCATGGGAAGCGAAGAGGCGCGAGGGCGAACAGCGTTGACCGGAGAGGCCTTGCGGCCGGTACCGCCGACCCTGAAGGGTAATGTTCCTGCTCTTTTTTGAACAAGGCTCGCTGTCCGCGCCGCCGCGGAAGTTCACTGAAGACACACAGCCGCCTGCCCAACAGCGGCCGCTGTCGGTTTGGGACAGCATTTGCTGTTGGGCATTGTACCTATTTTTCCATACCCATTTCGGGCGTCCAAAGCATCGGGGTCAGCCCTGACATGGATCAGCAAATCCCCTCTGGCTGGGCTGAATTTGGGAGCCACGTCTGAGCCACACCCGCCCTCCTCGCCCTCCGCTGACACGGGTTGGAGAGTTCCTTCGTGGCCGGTCCGGTTTCCCGATGTTGCTCGGCTCAGCCTGCCTCTGACCCCGGGGCTCGCGAATTCCACAACCTTTGGAGCCAACTTCCACTAGCTTTAGTGCAACCTGCTTCCCTGGCGACCGACTCGCAGGGAACGAAAGTGCGTCAGTCTTTCATGGTGAAGAGCTTGCAGCAGCTGTTCAAACACCACTTGATTCAGAAACATGGTCTGTGCAGCCTTGTGGCACGCAAGGGCCTGGCGGATTTTCCCGGGCCGTGCAAGACTCGTGGGTGCAGGTTCGAAGCCTGATGATTTTTTCGTTACATTTTGATGTTCGACCAGCTCCGACCCCTGACCCATATTATATTGTGTGCCTCTAATCTTCCAGGCATCTAAATAGATGCTTGTGGAACTCTCGCTGCGTTTGAACCCACTGCTGGTCGACTCCTCAAATTTGCTCTTTGGAGGGGCGAAGTTAAGGAGTTTATGATCGCACCGCATCTGCCTTCTCGCTGCTGGGTGCCAGCCGCGACCGAGCAAAGCCACATGCCGCAAGCTACTACAGCAGCCGTCCAGCCGTGACTGAGTGAAGGCCTCATTGCCAGCTGCCGCAAGCTGCGACAGCTGTTACCTTCCGGCGGTCCGCTGCCATCGGGAAAAATGTTCTGTCGCCGAAGCTGACCCCGGTCCGCTCTGCCTGCCAAGCCTCTCTGGTCGTGTTGAGGTCATCGCTCGCCCCCAGACGTTCCCGTGCGTTTTTTGAAATTTGCTTTGTTTTACCTCCCCTTGCCATCAGAGAAAGATCTTCCCCCCCCCCCTTAGGAGTCAATTGACGAAGGCATCTGATATTGGATGTCCAAAAAGTTCCTGCGGGTCACTCCCCGCCCGACTCTCGACGAGCCTCGCCCGCCTTGAGTGCCGCGGCCGCCAGGTCCCACGTGTCCTGGTGATCCCTTCGTCTCCCGCCCCACATCCTCGACGAATGACGACACAGTGACCATGCGAAATTATCCGACACCAACGCACGGCTAGCGCACTTCAATATCACACACGCACACACACACGCGCGCAACACGCGTACGTCGCATACACACAACACATGTACATAACGGTCCAGCGCGACGTACACACAACCTATAAGCCGGTCATATACGTTGATGTCGGCATTTGGCTGGCGTTTCCCCCTCCCCCTTCCTCCTCCCTCCCTTCCTCGCCCCCCTCCCGCAGTCGCTCGGCTGGCGGCAAAGCGTTTTCCCGAGTCGTCTCGAGTTGCCGCCGCACGGTTTCTATGATTTCACTGGCGCGTCGGATGTTGCATAGGCTCGGTGTTTTCTCGGCTTCTACTGCTCTCCTGCTTCTGCTGCTGCTCCTCTGCCTCCTCCGGCGTTGCGTTTGTACGGTGTGTGTGTGTGGTATTTCTAGTTTCGCTTCCTTGGCACTGCGGCGTGGCTCGTGCCACTTCGCCTTCAACCCAGGATTCCGCCACGGCCAGCTAATGATGCGACTGGGCGTCTCGTCTCATCTTGCGCGTGCAGTTTGCGTGGTGATTCACAGAAGTTCTCTTAGTAACCCCTGTACAGGCGCGCTTATGAGTCCGCGTTTGACACGCGTTGAGCGGGCCTCGCGACTTCCTCTCCTTTTCCTCCCCTCCTCCTCCTCTCCTGGTCCTCTGCTCTTCTCCTCTTCTCGCCGGTGCTTGTTCTTATTGTTGGATGTTGGTGTACTGAAATCAAGCCGCTGGTCAGCCTCTGCCGCGTATCGCAAGGAGTGCACGTGTTACTCGAGAGTTGTTGCGGCCGTCCCTTCCCGCGTGCCTCTCCGTCTTCTCCCAACATGTGTCGCTGACAAAAATTCATCTGCACTGTACGTGCACGCAACAGAATTGCGTACGCCAGGCACGCACAGAAAGGGCGCACACGTAACACATGTCCACGCAACGGACATAGGCAATCACACGCGCATACTTATGTTGAGACCATTGACAAGCATACTTCGCGAACGTGCATATCGAAAACATGAAGTGTCATACTATGTGACAGGGTATCTCGTTTCTTTTTTCCTTAAGCGATGAGCAATCAGACGCGACATGCGTCGTGACGTGACTCTTGTTCGGGAACATCGAGCGCAGCATTGACCAGTCAGAAATCGGCAACATGATAAAGGAGTACCCCACGGCTTGTCAAACATTCCAGGTGTCACGACGTCACGCCAGCCCGACGATAACCAAGAGCGCCAGCGATCGTCCAAGGAAGGACAGGCGCCACGGCAGAGAAAATAATGAACCAAGCATGTTTAGCAGGATCACACACAGGTGTTCTTGCGTTTCAAGGACCTTATCATTCAAAGGCTACGCATGCCTGCCAAGCGTCTCGCCGTCACGCTGGCCCGTGAGAAACCAAGCGTTGCAACGATTGTTTCTACAAGTAACAGGCGCGACGGCAGATAACATTGAGAAATTTGGCAGCTTGACAAGGCAACCGTAGTACAGAACTACATTGCAACATTCAAGTCTACCGTGCGTAAATACGGCGCGATAAGATTACGTAGCATAAGATGCCCACGGCGAATCAGACAATGCAGGCGTCACGACGTGGCGGTGGCCTAACAAGCACTAAGCAAGGACCCTTTAGAAGACGATGGGCAGATGGAGAAGACATAGCTGCAGAGACATCCGACGGTTCATCAGATAGGACAGTGGTCACGGCGCCACGCCGACCTGAGAAACACCTATTGTATCAAAGATCTCTTAGGAAGGATGGATGCCATGGCAGACAACATAAGAACGCGATGCGCATCATAATGTTGTAAGAGGCATCAGTCGACGACCAAGCAGGCATGGCAGGCATCACGACGTCACGCCAGCTCGAGAACAAACAACAAAACAAGCAACGAACGTTTTGAATTGACAGACGCCATGGCAGGTAACACAGGATAATCACAGACAGCATGGGAACTCGACGAAGCGTGCATGCATGAAAGGCTTCACGCCGTCACGCCAGCCCGAACATAATTCAACGACGTAGCGAGCGCAGACACAACACGCGTGATGGCATACATATTTTGAAAAGTGACGGCCTGCGTGACGAGACAACGTGATGCAAACATTCCGCGGTTCCTTCGGCATCCCGCCGAGCCCCAACACCCCCCCACGTCTCCTTGAGCAGCCCGCCCCATGCGCATGGCAGAACATGACCGACCAATGAAATCAGGGACTAGCCATGACAACAACTGGACGATGAAATACGAACGCGACTTGGTACATGCTGTTCGCCACCGACAGGTTGAGGTTGTTAGTTCGGCAGGCTCACTCAGGCACCAGGCAGGCTGAGATTGTCGACTGGGCTTGCCTGGCGATGCGGCGAGCATGTGGGGTCGCAATTGCCAGTCCACATTCTTCGGCGGCCCCAGCTGCCGCTGGGACTGGGAGCAGAGCGCCGCCCATCGGAGGACGAGAACGAGGGAGAGGTGGAGGGGGAGGAGGGAGGAAAGAGGAGGACGAGGCAGGAGCGGAGAGGGGGAGCCAGTCGGGCAAAGGCTCCCCATTTGCCCATATCCCCTTTCCTCCGCCGCCTTCTCCTGTGCCTCATCTGCTGGACTTTTGCACGCGTCAGTTCAGTAGACGTGGTCCCCTCCCGCTCCCCCTTCCCCCGCTCTCTCCGCCCTTCCTTTCTCTCCAGCCGCCCTTGGCCGCGGTTTCGGCACGGGCCCTTCCAGGGGCCTAGCTGTCCCCCCCCCCCAACCCTCCCCTACCCTGCCCTCCCCCTCGCCCCACGCATCCCCGCCGCCGGGTGGCCTACAGTGGCGACGCTGAGATCAGGACCATTGGTCTTCGGGCCGCTCCTTCGGGCTAGGTCGGGGAGTCTTTGCGCGGCCGAGCTCGCCGTGGCCAGGAGATGCCTTTCGCTCACTCAGCAGATGGTTGTCTTTCAGTGCCCGCCTGCCCACCCCTCCCCCGATTCCACCTGCCAGACGCCCCCCGCGGGTCCTTTCCTGCGCGCCTCTTGGAGGTGTCTTGGGAGCCTTCTTGGGAGCATCTGGGGGCCTTTTTGGGAGCTCCTTGGGAGCTTGCTGGCGGTGTCGAGGGCCAGCTTCGGGGAATCTGTTTGGGCCCTCCGCGGAGCCCCTTGACCCCTCTTGGGGGGCCTCATGAGCCGTATTGAGGCCCACTCGAGTCATCTTGCAGTCTTTTTGGGAGTGTCTTGGGCTGTCTTGGGGCGATGGTGAAGACCTCCTGGGCCGTCTTGGAAGGCCGCAGTCACGAAAAGGCGAGATCGCACAACTTATGTCAAAACCAATGGAAATCAGTGTTTTTTTCCAGAGCCCTTCCTGGGGGCACTGTTGGGGTTCTTTTGTGGCGTTTCGGAGGCGTCCTGGGCCATCCAGAGATTCGCTTGGGTGTCTTGGAGCGCTCTTGGACCGTCTCGGACCATTTGGGGTTTTGTCGGAGGTCCTTTATGGCGCTCTTGGAACGCTCTGGGGGTCCTGGAAGGCCGTACCAGGGAGCAACGCCTTTTTGGGATCCACGGGTGACCAACGGCCAGGGTACTTTACATTTGGGAACCCTTCAGCGGCCGCCACGCGCGTGGGAACTAGATAGACGATACGGCTGTCACCTGCGATTTTGAAGGTCCGCGCGGGTTTCCTGGATCTGCGCTTGACCCCCGTGGCGGCGTCTCCAGCGCCACCCTTGCCGCGCTCCGCGCGCCAGTGAGGGGGTCCAGCGCCGATCTAAGAGAAATCCTCTCGGACTTTCGAGAATGTCTGCTTTTTTTGTCCCTCTGATGATCCAGCGCTCCCTTCCTCAAGGACCCGTTCCCTTCATGCTGCCGGTCGCCGCCCGGCCGCTTGGCCCCCCTCCCGATACCAGGAGCTGTCAGACGCCATCGCGCGCGCCGAGCGCGTCGGGGTGCCAGAGGAGGAGCTAGAGGCCGCGAGGAGGGTCCTGGCAGAGGCGGGCATTCGCGCCGCTCTCGTGCGGCCCGGCGCGCAGATGCAGAGTCGGTCGGTCGTCGTGGTCGTCGTCGTCGTCGCCGCCGCCGTCGTCGTGGTCGTCGTCGTCGTCATCGCCGCCCCCGTCGTCGTCGTCGTCGCAGGCGGCGTTCAACCGGCCCACGCTCGCTGAGTGCCCATGAGGCCGGCCCGCTTCCAGGCGTCGCGAGACCACATGTCATATTAAAACAAATTGTCGGAGGCCCGCGCGGCTTTCTCGGATCGGCGCTGGACGCCCCCCCCTGGCGCGGGGAGCGCGGCAAGCGTGGAGCCGGAGGCGCCGCCAAGTGGTCACAGCGCCGACAGTTTATGTTTGTTCTTCGTGGTTGCAGGAACACGTGCTGGCTGGCTCCATGCGC